AAAAAAAAAAAAAAAGTAAGAGAGTGGAGCTGGGGAGGGCGGGCAGGGGAGGTGGGATGTCTCCTAATGCCCTCACTCCCCCAGGTGGGTGGCTGGGAGCAGCACACTGACCTTAGCACTGACCTGGCATAGGCTGACGCTGGGTCACACATTGGCTGGGTGACTCTGGACTACTCATTCTGTTGCTCTGAACCTGGTCATAATCAGAAGGTTAAAACCTGCCACTTGGGTTCGTTAACAGGCCACTTTATAGGGTGGTTTTAGGTACTTTGTGTGAGGTACTTAGTGTGGTTCCTGGGCATCAGCCAACAGGCGCATGCAAACCTGTATCCGTATTGTAATTATTACAGCTATGTAGGTCACTAGGAAAGTTTTGAGACAGACTGTGTTGTGGTCCATTATTTCACTTCTAAGAAACACAGGTGACAGTGTCCTTTGTGATTCACCATCGCAAGTCTCACCCTGCGAGGCTTGTTGGTGCCACCAGGAGGGTTCCATTTGTTTTGTCCACGTGGATTTTACATTTCTTGATTTTAGTGTGTCTTAAAACTTTCGTAATGACCCACATCCGATTACTGCTACTACTATTACTGCTAATACGATGCCTGTGTCTACTATCACTACGACTATTATTACTGTTACTGCTGCCGTTATTACTCTTCTACAATTACTGTCACTACTGTTTACTTTATTGCATCATCTCATTGATCCTCCCAATCACACTGCAAGGCACAGGTATCTGTTGATTATCCCCATTTGACCCATTTGACAGATGAGCAAGCTGAGGCCTCCTCACCCTTCCAAGGCTTCCTGTGTCCCCACCACTCTCTGCCCTCCCAGCCCCCCACCTGAGCCTGTGCAGGGCAGCCTGTGCCGAGGCCGCCTGCCCTGGGGTGCTGTGGGATGGGATGCCCTGGCAGTCGCAGCCACTGCTTCCTGCCCCTCAGGTGTGTCTCCTGAAGACCAGGCCCCCTATGTCTGTGAAGCTCGAAATGTCTTTGGAAAGGCCCAGGCCAAGGTCCAGCTTGTCATCACGGGACACAGTTCACTGGTGGATCAGAGGGCCCCAGGAGGTAGGGAAGCGGGTGCTCCCTGGGGGTACAGGTGGGAGGTGAGCACCCCCAGGGAGGCCCCTCAGGACCACTGCATCCTTTGGGATAGAGGTGTCCGGGGCTGGGTTTCCAGGAGGGGTGTTGATAACCTGGTTTCCTGGGCAGTGTTCTGGGTGCTTCAACACTTTAGATTCCCAATCCTGATGTTTCTACCTGTTTCCTGAGGGAGTGGGGCCTCCCAGATGACCCCTGCAGGGGATCAAGCATGGCTGACACCATCTCCTTTCCCCGCAGTCCCCCCACAGATCGCCAGCAGTGCCCCCACCGTTCGTGTCCTGCAGGGGCAGCCTGTGTCCCTGCCCTGTGTCATCCTGGCTGGGAGACCCCTCCCGGAGAGGCGCTGGCTGAAGGCTGGCCGGCCCGTGAGTGCTGGGCCCTCAGGATGCGGCAGGAGGGGCGCCTGGGGAAGGGGTTCTGCCACACCCATGCCTCAGCCTCTGCTCTACTGTTTCCGTGCTTTGGACTGTCTCATCCTTCCTCCCTTTCTGTCCTGCCTCATTCCAGAACCCTCTCGATAACATGCTGATGGCATTTGTCACTCTCTAAGTCTTGCCAGTGGTCAGCTGTGGCTGCTGGACCCCTTGGTGCTCAGTAGGACAATCTTGTGTTCTGTGAGAGCTGTGGGCTGGGGAGCCACTTAGTGGTGGCCCAAACACCATGCATTTGTCATCACCCTGTTCTGAAGGTTCCAGGGCAGAGAGGTGACCTGTGCCCTGGATACCTAGTGTATTGCTGGGCACATGGAGGTGGCGTTGTCAATTCATATCTTCTTGATTTTGTTTCTTTTCTGGTTCTCTCTCCTGTTGGCTCTTTCTTCACCTCTTCCTTTTCCTCCATTCTTCTGCCTTGTCCTCCCCCATGCCCTTGAGACTGCAGGGCCCTCACCCCCAAATTCATTTGAGACTCCAGCAGATGAGCAGAGATCGGGCGTCTCAGGGAGGCAGCAGCAGTGTGGCTGTGTGTCTGGCCTTGCTGACCCTGACCCAGGCTGGTGGAACAGCCTCCAGCTGTGCTCCGCCCCCGCCAGCCTCCCTACTGCCTGTGGAGTCAGGCCCCTTGGCAGACAGCTCACGACTCCCTGAGGAGCCCTCTGCTCTGCCATATCTGAGCTTTAGCCCAGGCTGTTCCTGCCACCAGTATACTTGTCCCTGCCACTTTGGGCTGCCTCTCTCTTATCCTTTAATACCAGCAGTGAGCATGCTAGGTCAGCACAGGACCTTGCTTTGTGTTGTCATCACCTTTATTCCTCCCACCTACCCTGGAAGGAAGAGCCTGTTATTTTCCCCACTTTACAGAGAGGGAAATTGAGGCTAGGAGAGCTAAATTTACATGGTCAAGATCATGTAACAAGTTAAGAGGCCCAAGTTGGGCTTGAACTCAGGCCCACCTGAGACCACAGCCCAACTTTACAACCTTTTAAGACAGTAATCTGCAATCTGCAGCCCCTGGGCCATGTCCCATCCATGGCCTGTTTTTTAAATAAAGCTTTATTGGAACACAGCCACATTCAACTGATTTACGCTTTGTCTATGGCTGTTTTTATGCTACAGCTGTGGAGTTGGATAGTCGAGGCAGAGATCATACAGCCTAAAATATTAAATCTCTGTCCCTTTGCAAAAGGCTTGCTGACCCTACTCTAAGCCCCAGGTTAGGGGCCACCTCCTCTAAAGGGCGTGCTGACCTCTGCAGCTCCAGGAGGGTCTTTGTGTGTGTGTGTCCCTCCAGGTTCTCAAATTCACAGCACTTTGGAATTACCTGTGGGAGTTTTAAAATATCCTGGTGCTCAGGTCTCAAACTTACCCCTTAAATAGAACCTTTGGGGATACAGATCAAGTAGTTTCTTTTTAACCCCTTATTTTGAAATAGATGGTTAGTGTTTAAAACTCCCTGGATATTTTCAATATGTAGCCAAGTTTGAGAACCGTGGGTGTGTTGCATTTAAAATTTTCCTCATATTAACTGTGAACTTCTCCTGACTAAGAATTTGACTTAACTCTCTACTCCAAACAGCCCTTGGTACAGTAAGCACTGGTGAGGCATTCATTCATTCATTCATTCAACATATGCCTGTTGAGCCCTGAGTGGGCACCAGCTACCGTGTGGTGGCATGATGTGACGTGCAGCACAGATAGGGACCTGCTCCTGGGCAAGCAGGCTCTGCAGAAGCATGTTTTCATGTCTGTGACTCCCTGGGCAGCCTGGGTAACTAGATGTGAGCAGGGCATGTGGGGTGGGGTGGGGAGGAGGCTCCCTGGGAGATGATGCCTTAAGTGAAGGACGAACACACGAAGACCCTCCTCTGCTGGGTGCGTGGGGAAGGAGTGGCCTTGGGCCTCCCAAGTGCCAGCCAGGGAGTGGCCAGAAGTGCTGAGCATCTGTTAGCTCAGTGGGGACACTAGGTGGAATCCCACCTGCTCAACTGTGCTCAGCCTGAGAAAGCTGGGGGCAGAGCACTGGAGGGTTTCTTGAGCCCCTCACCCAGGATGGGCTGGTGACATTGTACAGAGGTCTCCCCAGGCTTTAGCATGGACCAGCATGCCCCCACCTCACCCCAGGCCTTATGATTCAGACCTAGGGAGCCACGGGAGCCCCCTCTCCTGCTCCCCCTGTCTGTGGCCTCATGTGGAGAACTGCCCCTGTTGCAGCCTCAGTGCTGCAGCCCTGCTCACTGAAGGCCCTGGCCCAGTCCTGCATTTCCGGGAGAGTCTCTCATGGGCCCAGCTTGGGTTAGGTGTCTCACCTTGGTCTAGTCTGCCAGGGAGGGGTGGGGTCGGGTGTGCAGAGCTCAGGTTCACTTAGCCATGCAGGGTTGCGTGTAGGGGGAGGATGGACTTCAGGCTCCTATTTCTCTCTGAGCCCTGGCTCCTCTGCCAGCCTGCTCCCTGTCATCAGGTGGGCAGTACAGTTTCCCCGAGGCTTCTCTCTTTGCTGCCTCTGCCCGGGGCCTAAGGACTCCTTGCCTCCCACCCCCCAGCTCCCACCTGGCAGCCAGCACTCTGTCCGTGCAGATGGCAGCCTCCACCTTGACCGGGCGCAGCGAGAGGATACAGGGCGGTACCGCTGTGTGGTCACCAACACAGCTGGCTCTCAGCACCGGGATGTGGAGCTGGTTGTCCAGGGTGAGTCTTGGGCCCCAAAGAGGGGAGGGGGTGGGGCAGGGGACCTCGGTCTTGAGCACCTTTGTTCAAAAAAAACAAAAAACAAAAACTGCACAAATAATACAAAGCCCCTGTTGGGAAATTAGGGATTTGACTTGTTAAAAAAATACTCCCATAGTATCAGAAGCTAAGAACAGCCCGGTTTTATGTTTCACTGTGTGCCTTTCCGTGCTATACACACCTCTCTCCAAACATAGCACAATACATGTGTGTATACAGCTGTGTATGTATGTGGCATGTGCAGGGCCCAGTTGAAGCAACAGCCTTTTTAAAGTAGTAGTATTATACAAATAATTATAAAACATGGAAATTGGCAGAGAAACATGATAAGAGAAAAACCTTACCATTTCAATCTGTGTGAGCATCTGATCTTTGGTGCTGTCAACACCTTCTGTAGAATCCTGCAGGTTGTGAGGAAAAAGGGGCATTATTTATGTTGGACCCTATATGTAGAGAGGATATATATTCTTTATATATAACATAAAAATTCTTTTTGTGTTTGTTATATAATTCATATATAAATTCTCTATCACCTGTTTGTCTATTCTTTATAAATATTTTAAAACCAAACTGGGATGACATGCTTTTTTTTTTCTGAGATGGAGTCTCACTTTGTCACCTCGGGGTAGAGTGCCTTGGCGTCATAACACAGCAACCTCAAACTCTTGGGCTCAAGAGATCCTCTTGCCTCAGCCTCCTGAAAGCTGGGACTACAGGCACCTGCCACAACGCCCAGCTATTTTTCGAGACAGGGTCTCACTGTTGCTCAGGCTGGTCTCAAACTCCTGAGCTCAGGCAGTCCACCCACCTCGGCCTCCCAGAGTGTTGGGATTACAGGCGTGAGCCTCCGCACCCGGCCTCAACATATTTTCTTTGTTTTGCCACTTACATGTTTCCTTGGCGACATGTTATGACTGTTTTCTGTCATAAATATTCAGAGGTTTATGACGTGTAAGATGGCCTGACTCCTGGTTATCTAAGCTGCCCTGTCTGGTTTCTCACGGGTGTGAACCCCCTGGGGATGCTGCACAAACATGACTGATCCTTTTCTTAGGATGAACTCAATGGTGCGGGTTAAGTTTTGAGTCATGGAGATTGCACGTTTTTAGAGATTCTAGTGTATTTTGCCCAATTGCCTTGCTACCCCCTTCACTCACCCAACCAGGAATCACTGTTCTCTTTAATGTAAGATGAGAAATTTAAAACTAAGTTTGGTTATATTTTGTAATTTCTCAAGTATGTCAACATCTTCTATTTTAACTTGTTCTCATAAAACCCCCAAGGGGAGAATGCACCGTTCCTCCATTTTATGGGGAAAACCACAGTTCGGAAGGGGCCAGGGCAAGAGCCCAGGAGTCCTATTTCATCATTAATTCCAACTCGTCACAGCCACCAAAGGTTGAGCAAGTCCCACGTGCCAGGCCTCCACCAGGTTCCATGTCTGTTTTCACATGTTCTCCACCTGTGACTTCCCTCTGTGCCTGGCGCAGCCTCCTGCGGAGCTGATGTGAACCAGCTTGTTCTCTCTTGGGCTAGTCCCTTTCCATTCAGCAAATATTGCCCCACCTGCTGCTTTGGCCACCTGGGAGAATCTGGAAGAGCATTTCCTCTCCAAGAGTGGCAGCGTCACAGCCCTGGCTTCTGCCTTCCCCTCCTGGCTTGTCCATGCCTGGTCACCCCTCCCTTGCTCATTTTCACGCCTACAAATCCAGACAGTACCCAGAGCGGATCTGACACCTGTTTGTAGGTTCACTGTATTCTGTGAATGCTTTTTTCTGCCATTTCTCGTCTGTCCATCCCTGAAGGGATGAGCAGGGAGTTGGAGTTAAATGAGCTTTTTCATTGATCTGGGCATATGGATATTCCCAGAAGATTAGATGGTTTTTCCAGAGTCCCACAGAACAGAATGAGCACGCAAGCTCCGGGCACCAGCTGCCTTCAGTCTGGGGGGCGAGTGGATGGTGGCCAAGCAATGGCAGCTATAGATATTGTGCCATTTTAATTGTCCTGTTGAGATTTTTAAAATTGCAAAATATACGTGACATAAAATATATCCTCTTAATATCAGAAGTGTGCAGTCTGGTGGCTTTAAGTGCATTTGCATTGGGTATCCACCATTGGCATCCATGTCTAGAACTGCGTCATCCCCAGCTATCCCAAATGAACCCAGTACCCACGTCCTCCCCTCCTCTCTCTCCCCCAGCCCCAGGACCCAGCACTCTGGTGTCCAGCTCTAGGGATCTGCCTATTCTAGATACCTCGTGTCCTTGGAAAGACCATATTCACCCTCCTGTGCCTGGCTGATTTTGTCTGGCATGTTTTCAAGGTTCATCCATGTTATGGCAGGTGTCAGAGTTCCTTTTTAAAAAAATAAACAGACTGGAATTTTAAGAGCATTTAAAATTTAAATTTTAAATTCATAGAAAAACTGAGTGGAAGTAGGGATTTCCCACACACTTCCTGTCCCCACCCCTTACAGCGTCCCCCTACTGTCAGCACCCCCGCCAGAGTGGTCCCTTTGTTACAGTGATGAACCTCAATGATGTGTCATCAGCTCCCAGAGTCCCTAGTGTACATTGGGGCCCACTCTCAGTGTGGTACCTTCTGGGGGTTTGGACAAATGTGTAATGACATGTGTCCTCTGTCATGGTGCCATGCAGAGCAGTCTCACTGCCCTGAAGGTCCTCGTGCCTGTCTGTTCACCCCCAACTCCTGATTTTTTGCTGTCTCTGAAGTTCTTCCTTTTGTAGAATGTCCCACAGTTGGAATCGATTCTCTCCTTTTTAAGGCTGAATAATATTCTGCGATGTGTGTAGACCACATTGTGTTTATGAGTCACTGTGTGTGGACATTTGGGTGGTTTCCGCCTTTTGGCTACTGTGAGTACTGCTGCTATGAACACTGGCTCATGAGATTGGTTTATTTATAAAAGTGCCACCTAGAATCCATCCCACTGCCACCCACCACGTCACCAATGAAGGGGTTCTGGCCTCTCTCCCCTGCGTCGCTTCAGGAGTTCCTACCCCCACCATCACCTGGACCAAGGTAGGCAGCGCCTGTTACCTTGAGGGTACCCGGAGAGGTAGGGCCAGTGCCTTGTAGGGAGGGGTGTGGGTTCTGATGATGTCACCTGTGCCTCTGCCCTAGGAAGCCAATGCCCTGACCTCCAGGGGCCCCCACTACAATGTGAGTGATGATGGCACCCTGGTCATTGCCCAGCCATCTGCCCAGGATGCAGGGGCCTATGTCTGCACAGCCACCAATGCTGTAGGTTTCTCCAGCCAGGAGATGCGGCTTTCTGTCAACAGTGAGTGATGGCGGGCCCTGTCCTGGGAGAGGGTCTCAGCAGGCGTGGAGGCAGAGAGTGGTTCCACTCAGCCCTTTGAAACTGGATAGGGAGAAGCTAGCATGTTAACAAGGCCCTTCACGGCACCTGCTCACCTTGGCAGCCCCTCACCTGCCTCTCTCTGCCCCAGACCCTCTGGTCTCTTTTCTGCATCTTGAATGGCTCATTCTGCCTCAGGGCCTTTGCACCCGTGCAGTTCCTTCAGTCTGGAATGTTCTTCCCCCTCCTCTTGGCCCAGCTGACTGTTCCCACACATCAGATCTCAGTGTTCCCTGATCCCCTGGGGCCAAGTCATGTTACTGTAAATCAGTGGTTCTCAACCTTCCTAATGCCGTAGCCCTTTAATACAGTTCCTATGGGTTGCGACCCACAGGTTGAGAACCGCTATTGTAAATGCTGGAATAGCCCCTTCATAGCATCCATCCCAAATGTGATTAATTAATTACATATAGAGCTTTTGGGTACCAGTATTCCTCTCAGGGCCTGGACACAGTGAGGACCAGGCGGGACCTTCCCAGGGCCATCAGAGCAAGACGGCCATCTAGCAGGTGGTGCTGGAGGTTCAGAAGGGCGGAACTGAGTGGAAACCCTTGGATGCAAGCCACCTGACCTTGCTGGGCCCCCCGAGGGTCAAGGTCGCAGGACCACCTCTAGGGGAACCTGTCCCATGGCCCCTGCCCTGCTCACATCTGCTTCCTGCTCCAACAGCCAAACCCAGGATCCTTGTGAATGGGTCACAGGACGTGGATGTGCCTCTGAGGATCATAGCAAAGGCTGGCCAAGAGGTGACCCTGGACTGCGAGACTCAGGGCTCCCCACCCCCTCTGGTCACCTGGACAAAGGACTGGTATCCTGTGCCACCTGTCACCAGCAGGTAAACCCAATCCTGTGACCTCACATCAGAGAGACCACTGACCCAGTGGGTGTGCGGACCCTGTGGAAACTCCCAGGGGGTGCCGGCTGGCTTTGGAACACTGGGCTGCTGTCTGTGAGCCCCCAGAAGCTTCTGAGGGGCCTGCTGGAGGGTTCACGGGAGCCCAGGGTGAGATGCCTCGTGTGCCAACTGCTGGGTGCCACATACAGGATCTCCTTTAATCTGCTCAGCAGCCCTTGTCATCTGAACTGAACTGAGGACACTGAGGCTCAGCTAGGTGTGTGAGCTTCTTATGGTCACCTAGTTAGAAAAGAAAGGTTGGAGATGAGACAGAGTCCCGACCATGACACATGCTACCATCACGGCTGCTCGTAGGGCTGGCTGTCTGGAGGCAAGGCTTTCTGACTCAGTTGCCCCATGTGGGGATGCTGGGAGTGGGTGGACAGGGAAGAGGCAGCCTTAGGCATCTTTCAAAGCCAACCCGTGTCCTGCCAGGAGCAGGTGTGGGGAAGGCCAGTTCCAACTGACAGGAGGGCCCTTAACTGTGGTGGGGAGGGGGCTGTGGCTCAGGCTGGTGACATCAACCCTGGCAAGGTCTTTGAAATGTTCCAGACGGAGTAGGTTGCTCTGTAACAGCCCTTTGGACACTCACACATGTGTCTCTGCATCTCAAAACATCTGTTTGCTGAGCCCTGCCAAACTTTGCAGCCATGCACCCCTCAAGGTGGCTGGAGGACAGGGAGCTGGCAGTGTCTGCAGGGCCCCCCATGCCCTGTTGGCGTCGCTGCAGCTCAATTTGTGGTGCAGGTGCGTGGAGGGCTGGGGGAGCCTGCATCTCCCCCAGAAAGTCCAGCCCTCACTCCTTGGCTGGGCTGTGGCCAGAGGCCGGCAGGATGCTTGTTTATTTATGGCTTGTTGCTGAAGCGGGGAGCCACATTCCCATTTGTTCACCCGTTAATAGATCAACTGGGAGCCATAATTTATTTGCAAAAGCTGCTTTTGCAATCCTAGGGTTTTGTTCTGTTCCTTCTCCCTCGCTCTCTCCCTTCTTGCTGGCTCACATTTTTTTCTCTGGAGATGTGTGAGATTCAGGAGTTCATCTCAGCGTGGGAGGAAGTGTGCCTGGGGTGGGGCTCAGTGCGGGTCCTTTCTTAGTTGGTTGACCTCGGGTGGCCGCTGCCTCCTCCTGGCCTGTGCCTCCAGGCAGAACCTGGGCGTGATCTAAATGCCTCCAAGTGTCGAGTGTCGCTGAGATGGGCGAGCAGTGCTCCGTGGCGCAGGTGCTGAAAGATCCCTCGCTTCCACGCCATTTCTCCTGTTGCTGCTTTTCGCAGACTCAGGCTGTTTCCAGCTTCCAGGGAATGATCCTCATTTGGCCATATCTGCTCTCTCTTTTAATTCTCACCCACTTTTTTTTTTTAATATAAAAGCTTTATTGGGATGTGATTCACATACTATATCACACGTTATTGGAAGTGCACAGCTCGGTGTTTCTCCGCACATTCTGGGTTGGGCAGCTGTCACCGTAGTCAACTTTAGAACATTTTCGTCACCCTGCCTCAAACCTCCACACCCCCGTTCAGCCCCACCCCAGCCCTGCCCAGTCCCTGGCAACTGCTGTGGCGCGTTCTGTCTCACTGGATTCTCTATTCTGGACACTTCATTTAAGTGGAATTGTGTGTGGCCATTCACATCTGGCTTCTTACACCTACCAGAATATTCTCTAGGGTCACCCAGTCATAGCACCAGCAGCAGCACTTCGTTCCTTTAATGGTCGAATAGCACCCTGTGGTGTGGGGGCACCTCTCATGTATCTGCTGTCTGGTAGATGGACAATGGGGTGGTTCCCACCTCCCAGGGACTGTGAGTGACCTCACTTCCCACTGCGCCCTAGACTTCACTCTCAGCTCTGGGGCTCCCTGCCCCGGGCTGGTGCTCTTCTCACACAGGGTGAAGCTCAGTCCTCCTTGGACACACGCAGCTCCTTGGAGATTTAAATAGGCCCATGGAAAACACACACCAGGACTGGCTGTCAATCTGCTCCCCTTGCCCCTCTCCCCTCCCCACTCCTCTTCCTTCTCTGAAGGGCCCCACAGCTGGGCCTTGAGGCTGCCACTCTGGAAGCCCCAGAGCCATTGAGTTGTAGTTGTTCAGGAACCTCCAAGGCCAGCTCACAGCCCTGATATAAGGAGCCAGTGCTGTCCACACTGCCCTCACCCTGCTTGTTCTCCTGGGCTGGGCCTCACACCCCATCCACCTTGCTGAGCTGCCTCAAGGACACAGCTCTGCAGTCGCCCCATCTTCTATCCTTGGAGAAGGACTGAGCCTGCTCCTGGTGCTTCTGCGGCACAGTCAGGGCTGGGAGCCAGGCCGTGCTGCACCTCAGAGGCCCCTCCTCCTGCCAGGCTGGGAGGCTCCTCTCCTGCCAGCCACCCCAGAGGAGGGTGGGGTGAACAACGCTGTGCCCACTCCTCTGAGGACACAGAAACGCAGCAGTGGGGGACTAGAATCCTGGCCACACAACTCCAGGGCTGGGCCCTGACATACAGATACTAGCACACACAGACATGTGTACACACAGACACAGACACACACATACACAGACATATATGCAGACACACAGACATGTATCTAAGCATGTAGGTACATGCACACAAATGTGAGCATACACGGACATGTACAGAGGTACTACACACACAGACACACAGGCTCACACGCACCAGGCTTCTGGGCCAAGGTCAGGTAGGCCTCTGCTCTCTCTGGAGAGCCTGGGGAATGTTCTAGACTAGGTTTCTTTTACCTCCAGAGTCAGAAAGTCCTGATAGGAAGGAAGCATCCAAGGAGTTTGACTCCCAGCGCGTTCTGAACACCAGCCATGTCTCAGCCCCTCTGATCTGCTCACATCCATGCAGATGCCCTAGCAGGATTAAACCTTACACTTCCTCTTTCTGCCCTTATCACTGATTAATTCTTCTTCATTTACTCAATTTCTTGATTCATCCTGGCTGCCTTTTTATTTTAAAG